GGGCGCGTGGGGAGGTGCCGTGCTCGCCGTGCTCACTGTACTCGCCGTGCTCACTGTACTCGCCGTTCTTCTGTACTCGCCGTGCTCGCCGTCCTCACCGTCCTCACCGTCCTCACCGTCCTCACCGTGCTCGCCGTGCTCACCGTCGTCATCCTCTCTGCCCTGCAGCAGTTCCCGGCCGCGGCCCAGGTCCGCTACGTGTCCAAGCCCGACCTGTGGCCGGAGGGGCGCGGGCGCACTCGCGGACTGTCGCTGGTGCCCACCCCGACGGGGCCGGCCAACGGGCCCGGCTTCGGCGCCATGGGCGACCACCCGCCGCTCACCCTGGTGTCCCCCGCGCACTGCTCGCCGTCCACGTGCCTGCTGGACGCCGCGCAGGTGAGCCAGCGTACAGCGGAGTGCGCTCCTTGCAGTGCCTGAGCGATGAGAGGTCCCCTCACTCTTGTTACTGATTAACAGTTAATCACTGTTCACAATAAAATTCCATCATATTTTCAGTCACTTTTCATAATTGTCAGTCATTTGCACTTACTTTCAATAACGTTTCAGACGATTTTAATCAAGTTTCAATCTTTTTTTTTTCACTTTTCGTCATTTTTTATCAATTTCTGTCACCTTTAGTCAATTTTGATTAATTTTTTGGTCATTTATTTGATTTTAATCATTTATTAGCTGTATCAGGTATAGCTGATTCACGCCGCGCATTTCTGTAGGCATACTGTACCGCACGCACGAGTGCGTGCGGCCTTGCCTATCGCCCCTGTCCACGGCGCCTTACGAGCCGAGCGAGTAGGCAACCCGCTCGCACTCGTGCATGCGGGACAGCACAACTACAGAAATGCGCGGCGTGAATCGGCCACCTGGTACACGGAATATCGAAGTCAGGGACCCCTCGGTAAGCGGCGTGTCTTGTTCCAGCCGCAGACGCACAGCCCGCGCAGCCTCAGCCCCGGGGGCGCGTGGCCCGGGGGCGGCCCCGGGGGCGGCCCCGGGGGCGGGCAGCAGCCCGAGTGCCTGCAAGACGCCGGCGCCGGGGGCGGGCCTGGGGGCGGCTCCTTCTCACGCAGCCCGAGCGTGCGCAAGCACGTGCAGTTCAACCAGGCCGTCGCCGAGCCGGGCGGCGGGGAGCCCTGCGGGCCGTGCGGGCTGGCGCCGCTGGCAGGGCTGGCCAGGGAGCGCGAGGGCTCCTTCAAGGGCCACCTGCCGGGCCGGCGGCGCTCCACCATCCAGCGGGCGCCCCTGCCGGAGGAGTCCAGCCTGGAGCTGCAAGAAGGTGAGAACCAAATTAGGGTTAGAAACTTCCGAATTCTAATTGGCATCACGCATTGCGCATGGCCCTTGCCCTTCCACCGCTACAAAATCGCCGATTGGAGGAGATTCTGCTGCTCTGGTTCCAGGCAACTCTGGGGATCCGGAAGTGGAGGTCGTGGAGCTGTTTGCGCCCGCCCCCCGCGCGCCGCCGGCCGGCCCCCCCGCCCCCGCCCCCGCCCCCGCCCCCGCGAGCCACACGGCCACCGGCGCGTGGCTGGTGCCCGTGCCGCGCCCCGCGCTCGCGGCCTCCGGCGTGCAGAGGGTCACCTACGTGAGCGGGGGCGGCGGTGGCGGCGGCAACGGGCTCGCGACCTGATCCTGCCCAACGCGACCACCGTCTGGAGGGCAGCCAACTTGTTGCTCTTGTCTCAATCAGTTTGTCAATCAAACGGCTACATTTTGGAAACAACGGTTCCGTGTTTCTATATATAGCGTATTTTTATACCAAAGATTAATTTTAGATTAGTTCGGCGCCACCGTTGAAAATATTAGACATTATTTTGGTGGTGTTTAAACTACGCGTGCGTATATATTGCCATCTGAATTCCTTCATGTAATAGTGTTCCCTCTATCGTTAATGTACATCGTTACATCATGATGTATGTTTGTTTTGTTTGTATAGGGACAGCTTGTGGCAGTAAGTATGCTTGCTTTCATACTTTTCTTGAAGGGGAAGAGACAAAAATTGGTCTGTGATGTGTGAAAGACTGTTCAAGGTAGTTAGGAAAATTTTGTTTTTTTGGTGGTCTAAATTAAAATTTGTAATATACCACGTTTCCAACTGCACTATAACCATTGCGAGAAACCCTAACTTATTTAGGCAAGAGGACTGAGTCGGTCGTTAGGGACTAAAGCATCACTATATGTACAGTTTTATTACCTATAAGGTTCTCTTCCCAATACAATGACTAGAATCACTCACAACTTTATTAGTGATATGTATGCAAATTCTCCAAACTGTTTTGAAATAATTTGTTGTGATTTTCTTTTTTTCTACAGTTAAGAAGGTTTAGAAAAGTCTAATGTAAGAATAATGCACATTATGATTACAATTTTGTATTTGTCTTGTCTGTGTTTATTTACTCCAACGCAATCGGTCTTAATGGCCACATGATGGTCACGATCCCCTCCTTCTGAGTCCGACAGTGAGCTCTACCCGCCACCACTTTCCCACCCTTCCGCGCATGTTTGCCCCACTAGGCAAGGGGGTGGCCTACTCGAGGCAGACATGCGGGAAAGGGTGGTGAAGCGGGTAGGGGGAGCTCAACTTTCGGACCAAATGCGTTTCGTTTATGGTGACTATGGTGCTGTTCAGAGCCTGACCTTGAGACTGGCGGGATGAGAGCTATCGGACTGAACGCATGTAATAGTTAAATGCCAAATGAAAAACTTTTTAGTTTCTCGACCAAATGTTTTTGTGCGAAAGAAAATTTGTAGTTGGTTTCTTAGTCATTAATGTCATAGTATATTTTCTCAAGAAAACATTACAAAAGTTTATAACAAAGTGATATGTATATTTTGATTAGTAACAAATTGCCAAACCCTGCTGTAGTTGTAGTCTTTCATGACATGAATTGTCTTCTATGAAATATTATTGTGAGTACTATCTTCCTTTTCAATCAAAGCAGTCGCTCATACTTCCCATAGTGAATACATGTCTAAAGATAGAGGAAACTATAGGCTAGAATAAGTGTCTGTATTTTATTTTGCCCCATTGTTGTTAAAGAACGCGGCGTGAGTAGGTCTAGAATGGGTTAAAGGCTAGCTTCAAACAACTAGAGTTACAAATAAAATTTTAAAATTATTGTCATGTTTTTTTACTACAATTAATCCAAGACAAATTAGTAGAAGAGGAGAAAATGAGTTTACATTTGTTGTACTGTGAAATGGAAAGTTACTGTCACTGAGTCGGCCCGGAAAACCTTCTTGGTTTATTTGTTGATAAGAGATTATGCTGTTCTAAAAGGGAATGTGTTTCCCCCCTACCTCCGATTCACTTTTTAAAACCAGGGGAAAGTGGGACATGGGTGCCGCGTACACTCAGCTCAGGAGCCTCCTGTTCTGAAAGCGTCACGGAGGGTCGTAGTCCTTTACACCTGGAACCTGGACCTGAGTGCATCTCCTGGACTCTCCAAGTATGTGGATGGGACGTGGTGAGAGAAGAGAGGGTGACTGCGGCACATTTAGTGACGCTCCCTCCACACGAGTGCGATAAGGGACCACCTCAACACGAAGAGGCAAGACGGCTCATTGAGAGGGGAGGGGAGGGGCAGGGGGGGCAGGTGGATAGGACACGGTGAGATGCAGTGGGGAGGTGCCGTGCTCGCCGTGCTCACTGTACGACACGGTGAGATGC